AAAGTGGAAAACTGTTGACTGAGGACGCGTGGGCACGTAAAATTTTTATTTTATTTGCCATCGCTGCGAGCACATTTTGAAGTGGAACGCGTGTCGGTCGCGAGTTGTGAATTCTGAATTTAAGATGCAGGTAACAGGTGATTCCTGGCCCTCCTCCCTTCTTCTGAGCTCTGCGCATAGTTTCCAGTCACGAACTAGTCATAAAACTAGCGCAGAGGCCTTCAAACGCCCGCCCGGCATCTCGAAGGACTGCGAAATGCAATTTACTTTTGCTTTCGCAATTATGCTGAAGACACTTTCCATTTTCTGCCATATCTCGAGGCCATCAATCTAAATTACGGCATTAAATTTTCAGCCTAAGCCGGACTTTTGTGAAATAATAAAAATATTTTATGCTCGGCGACAAATTGATTTATCTGACAGCCTAATCAACTTGGGGGATTTTGATAGATTTGTGCGGCAATTTATGAATGAGACAAAGTCGCAGCTGGAACTGAGCTCAGTTTTTACGGGATTTCTTAGAGGAGGAAGTTCGGGCCAAATTGACATGTTCTGCCCAATAATGAAGCGATCAGGGGCAGCGGGCCAAAACCTCATCCTGCTTCTTCGGCACTCGGCCTATTCATAAATCCCCTTTTCCTGGCGATTTGTCAGCACCAGACATTGCGACATTGACAATGTCTGTATCTGTATCTCAATCGCTTGCCTTTGCCAAGGACAAAGCACTTGCGAGAGTCTGCAGGTAAGCAAGAGAGCCTATGCCCCGTAGTCCGAGCCTCGTTATTGTCAATCTATCTTCCAGTATCTGCAAGTATCTCCCACTACTACTTCTGCCATACTTCCCTGAATCCCACTGGGTCCATAGCCTTGGCCTTTGTTCGCTGCCTGCTCTTTTTGCCATCGCCTGTTTGTTTTTGCAATTGACAGTCGCCCGAAGAAGAAGGCTGTAAGCGTGAGCATAATTATGGTTTTCAATTTATTCCGAGAATCCTATCGCACACACACACACTGTGAGCCATTTCGCAGAGGTTTCCCTGGAATAAGACCTGCTGTTTGCCTTTTGGGAGGAGTTCCTAATTGAAAGTGTCATAAATTAAGAGCGAACTTCAAGTCAAGACGAGTTGGCTGCCGGTCCTGCTGCTCTGGGAAAATATATGTATGGAAATTTGAGGGCATCTGGAGTACATCAACATGAACCTTTTCCATGTACCCCAAAGTAGTTTGTATTTACAGATCAAAATTGGTCATTCACACATTTCTATACTCCTTTTTGTTCTAAAAATGATATATTGAAAATGTAATTATATTGCTTAGAAAACTTTTATTTACTGTATGATATTTATATTTATTTATATTGCTTTCTGAATACTTTAGAGTTTTCGGGAACATTAATTTAATCTTTAAAGTCTATAAATGGGAATACCAATGAGTCACAGATATTGTTGTGCTATTTTTGGATGAACCTTTTAATCCGCACTTTCCCATCTAATTCACAACTCATGTCCTATTCAACAGGGTTTCCTGAATAAACACAGGAGCAATTTCCTTCATTATTTATTTACTTTTAAGTAGTCACTCCAAATGCATTCATAATATCCTGCCTACCCCCAAAACACAGGAAAAAAACTCAAACATCATGCTCTAAAAAGAATATCCTGCCGTAGGAAGACAAACAACTAGAGGAACTCATTCATAAATCATAGGCTACAAGTATTGTTAATTTTCGATACATTTTTTTTTCTTCCTGGGGAAGCCTGTGAAGTGTTTATTGGAAAAAATGTGCTTCCTCACGGTTGTTTTTAGGATAAATATGCCAGAAGGAAATATGATAGCCTATAACTTCGTTGGCGAGGCAGCTGGCGAAATGGAGCATCCTTTGGGCTTCCTGCGAGTGCACTTTTTATAGGGTATTCGGAGCAGTGTGATTGATGACTCAAGCTGCGGCACTCACCTTTCCACAGCTCCACAGTTTCCCAGGCATTCCGCGGAGTCCTCGACTGTTTACGACTCTAATCTTGTTTCTGTGTAAAACAAAAACGTGACTCCATCGTTGACCCCACGGATCTTGAGTTAATGTCTGAGTCACCGCTTACCCAGAATCGTACCCGCATGCCCCAATAAAGTATATCCCGACCTGCCGGCCATAATTTCCCGTTGCCAATACGAGATGAATACGAGTTGGTAAAGGAAAATCGAAAACGCACCGCTGGAGGATTTTCACATTTTCACCTGAGAGAATGCGGCGAAGTGGAAGAACGTGTTCGGGCAATAAATATCAATTAGCTAAGATAAAGATACTAAAGCGAGCCACAAGTCCACGAATCGGAAAATAAAACTAATTGCAGCTAGCCGGTGGTCCCAAGAAGCCCTCCACTTTCCACCGCACTCTATATATCGGTTCGGACTGCGACTGGAAAGGAAGTCGTAAAATTGATAAAGGCGCTGGACCAAGGAAGACCCAACCACTCCGCTTTCCACTCCGCTTTCCACTCCGATTATAAGAGTGTCACTAAAGTGCCAGGTCACGTTCGGTTCTGCGGCAAAAGTGAGTCACACACAGAAACACCGACTCCTCAGCTCCGTCGAATTTTCCGGAGCTCATCTTTTTATCAACCAGCCAGCCATTTGGCTTGATAAGCTGCTACAAATTTCGATGACGCAAGTGGAAAATGGTAATAGGAGTACCCCTTCCACCGGCAGATTTTCCGGGCGGTAGTCTCGTAGTATTTCCCTCTAATTTGCTGCTCATTTTGTTTGATGATGTGACGACATATGATTCGCCGCCTCTTTGAACTTGGCCTGCGGCATTTTATCTATCTGGATGTGGGTCCAGGGGCAAAGTTATCTTTATCTCCGGACCCGGTGTGGTCCTTATCGCCGGCGTGTGCTGCTGCTAATGAGCGTCTGCTGGTTGTTTGCATTTGGCCAAAAGCAAACAGCCAGTTAGCCGCACTGCTCTTTGTTTTGTTCTAGTACTTTGAAACTGTCATAATGGGGGAAGTGGGCCTTGGGCTTATCGCTGAATAAACCAATCCCTGACCTAAGTTAGAGTAATTTCCCCACCAAAAGTATACGTACAATTTGTAGTGCGCTTTATGAGTGGAATAATCTGACAGCGACCCAGTTTGATAGGAACTAACATGCGGCTAATCTACGCAATCGAAAGGGGTTCCGATTTAACTCCCCATTTGTTTGTTTAGGTGTAACTAATCTGCAGGGGTAAAAAATAAAATGTGTTAATCGAATACTTTCATTTGAATGTAAGGTTAGCTAAACTGTTGTGTTCAAGCTTTTTCAAGTACTTTAATTTATGGAAAATTAAAAATAAAACAATGTTCTATATCTAGAAATACGCTTTCCTGTGCTTAGTAGCAGCATTATACAATATTTAATGAGTTTTATTATTTGAATTAATTTTCAAAATGTGTACTAACATTGTATATGTTCAACCCGTTGGCAATATGGTTAGCAAGCCAAACCAAATTGAATTAGAGGAGCTGGCAGCGAATGCATCCATTTTACAGCCAAAATCATAAACAGAACCGAATGCTGCTTAAAATTTCATTACGCGCACTTAAGTGGTGTGATTTTGAGCACGCCCTTCGCTGGGGGAATCCCCTCCGACCAGTGTTGCAAAGGCTCGTAAAATCCCAACTAGCTGCAATGGAGGAACCACCGCAGTGGTGACACATCCGCATCCGCATCCGAATCCACATCCACATGCACATCCACTGCAATGCAGCTGGCGAAATGTCATCAGCGCCTGGATTTTATGGCCACGGCGAAAGGAGAATGTATCTAAGCTGCAGCCTTGTTCCTGGTTTTCTGGTTTTCTGCTTTCCGCTTTTCGGGTCTCCTAAATTCGGCTAAAGCGTAAAACTTTTATGGCTGCCGCAGCGCGTGGAAGCGAAGAAACCTCCTCGCATCGTCGTCGTAAATAAATTTTTGGGCCGTAATTAATTTTGCATGCCAGTCAGATAGTGGAGAGCTTCCCGGCGACAGTTAACTGCTCCTCAAGTCGGCTTTTTCGTGGGAGTTCATAGTAGGCTGCTCGGCTTGCTGATTGGGAATGCCGCACGCCATTAGGGCCGTTTTGATATGCCAAATGTGTCGCTAAATGATTTTTATTTCCCCCGTCGCTCATACGCACCGTGTGACGGGGCCAGGCTTAATATGCAAATCGTATCTCCTCGCCGAGTGACGCACACACGCCTCAGCCAAATCTGTCAGAATGACGGCAAAAGTTGAGTTTACAGTGCAGTCGGCTCATTAGTGAGTCTGTTTGCCATTGTGGCTCTTGTCTGGCTGCTCTGGCATTATTTATCTGGCATTTTTAACACTTGCCGCCGACAGTCGCTTTGGCATATTCTGCGCTATTTTCTCCGCTGACAGCTTAAAAACGTTGGAAAAACGAGCAAAACACAAAAAAAAACGAAAATAAACTCAAAGTCTGAGCTAACAAGTGCAAATTTGTTTGCTGCATCGAGCTGAGCACAAATTTCTCAACCTTGGCTTCGTGCTCGCCTTGTTTGCCCTCCGTTAATTTTTGTTGATTTTACGCGTTAGCCGCTTGGCCGCCCCATCGTGTGTTTACTGTAGCTACACTGTTTGTATCGCGACCAGGTCGCAGCTGTGTGTGAACGGAGCAACTTAGTTGACACAATGATAGGGAAGACTGTATCTTCGAGGCACTCGAAGGCTGCTCCCTGACATCTAAGCAAATTGAGCTTCTGAAGGCAACAGAAATTGATGAAAACTCGAATGTTAAATAGTTTACACAAGAACAGAGTCTCCAAATAGGATAGATCTGGTCTAAATATATCTTAAGTAAGCTCTAAAGGTTTAATTATCTTTAGATTCTATTTGTGAATTTGTTATTTGGGTTACTTAAACTATTATTCTTGGAGTTTTCAATTAACAAACTTATAGAAAAACTACTCATTTGAAATATAACAACCACTTACTAGCTCTCATAAAACAAAAAAAAAATTATTATTTGGAAAATGTATTGTATATTTGATTAAACTAAAGTAACTTAACACAAAACCTCTGAATATGAATTTATATCGAAGCAGGTGGAAAAAGTTTTCCTTTCAGACATACGCAGTCCTTGCAATCTTTTTGGCCTTAGCTTTAGTGCAATGGATGGTGGTGGCCTGGCTGTGGGTATACTTTCTATAGAATCAATTATGTATTTTCTTGTGTATGTCCTCTTGCAGGGAACTTTTACGATCTACTTTCTATCGTTTTGACGTTATCTGCTCGGCCACCTTTTTGGTAAGTAGCACAATTTTCATAACGTTTGCTTTAAATGAAAATGTGCGAAGCCAAAAGTATTTAAAATGGATCCTGTCATTTCTGATAGTAAGTTATCTGTTTGATTTCCATATATTTTATGGAAATATATTTTTTTGTATCCTCAAGGTGGAGCTGCTTATATTTTCCATGTTTGTGCTAGTGGTTCGAACTTGGATTCCAGATCTCGTGGCATTCTATTTTATATGTTTGCTTCTAGTGATTGTAGCACTCATTATCGGTTGTCATCTATCGTTCTCGGTAGAAAGTCATTTTAGTATTACAAAGGAACAATGAGTTATTCAAACTACTTACAGATGGATTTGACCAAGTCTATAGCTTCGCTGTTTATCTTGAGCTTTATATTTCTCGCAATCTCGATTTATTTTCTGGTTGCACATCATTTTTTAAAAGCTATGCTGCCATATGCATACCTGATGTTTGAGCTTTGTGTGAGCGCAGTCATGTTAATGGTAAGTATTGTTCAACATCACATTTCAATTTAAAACAAATCATTTACAGTTCATCATGGTGCATGCACAAACAATTAAAGGAGATCGATTTATCCAAATGAACTTGGATGATTTCGTATTGGCTGCCTTGCTAATTTTCCACGAGTTTCTGGCCATCTACGCAATGACTTTCTACTGGCAGATCAACAATAACTACTTCACATCCGAAAAATTCCTCTGGCTGTCGACAAGTACCCATCAATATGGCGTTACAGCCGCCATAACTCCTGATTATGATGACTATGGTAAAGAAATTATTTCAATCACCTAAGTAACTTCTTTCAAATGGTGAATCTAATTACAGATTTTAAACCAGACTTGGAGGCTTGGCAAATTTCCAATGAATCAAGTTTTGACTGGGCTGCTGAAGAATGGACAATAAAAGACAAATGACATGAAATGAAATGAAAATAAAATAATGCTTTTAGGAAAGGTAAAAGTATTTAAAGGGTTTAGCTCATGAAGTTTTGTAAGCTTATTATTTTTAAAATCACATTACTTTTGCGACTCCACTTAAAATATTCCCTACAACACAGACTCACCTGAAGGTTTGAACAATTTCTTCGTAGCTATAAGCGGTTTTGGAAAAATTTTGAGTCTACCATATACAAATTCCAGACCCATGGGTTACGATGTATGTATCGGAAGAACACCGCTACTACCGAAAGGCGAGAAAAAAGTTTTCATTGAAGACCTATGGCCTATTGTGTCTCTGGCTAATTTTGGCCTTAATACAATGGATAGTGGTCGCAATAATGTACGTTAAGTTCTGAACTTAGTGCAGTTTTAAATTAATTTTCTTAATATTTTTTAGAGAAGATGCAAGGCATACTTTCCGTTCGCTATACTACATATGTTTCGTGACCTTTGCACTGGCCGTATTGCTATTCACCCTGTTCATTTTTATTGAGAAGATGCGTTTTATGAAAGGTGTAAATTTTGCCGTGTCACTTATTATTGTGAGTTTTAGAAATATATTTCTTAAATTACTTAGTTTCATTTTCATTTATCTATTTGATTTCAGGTTGAGCTTCAGATCATATCGACATTTGCTCTAGTAGCTCTGAGTTGGTGGGCGGAGGTTCTGGCCTTTTTTTTAGTGGCTTTATTATTGGTGGTGATATTCTTAATAATAGGAATATTTCTACCAGCTAAGGTAATAACAACAACTAGTAGGTTTAAAAATCTATTAATTTAAAATATATTTGCAGGCGGATCTCACCCTGGACATCGCGATTTTATTTATAATCGCATTTATTTTCCTAATTATCGCGAGCTTCGTTCTAATGTTCGAGTTACTTGTCTGGAAAACGATTCCTTGGGCATATTTGGTGGTGGAAATATCTGTAACCTTGACTATTCTTCTTGTAAGTATTAAGTTGAATTGATGAACTTGTAATTCCAAAAATACTCTCTAGTTTGTTATGTATCATGGTCAAACTATTCATGGAAACCGATTTGCCGAAATGCGTCTAAACGATTTCTTTCTGGGATCCCTTATTCTGTTTCACGACTTTCTTATCATTTACTGGCTGACATTCTACTGGCAGACTAAATACAGACACCTCACGCCTGATTCTTGGGTAGCAACATCTACCCGTGACCCGGAATATAATAATAATACTAGATATAGAAATATTGACAGTAATTTGGACTGGGAGCAGCCACACGGTGAGATATTTTCCAGCTTTGGTGTAACAATATTTAATTTATCTTTTATAAAGATCGAACAACTAATCTACCCTGGGAAAATGAGAATTGGTCTACCAAAGATGATGATGGAGGCGATCCCAATCGTGGCGATAAGCTTTACCCGCAGATTCCAAAAGGAAGGGGTGGAAATCGGGATCGAGGAATATATGGAAATCGAGACTTCGGTGATGATGAACTTTATCCACAGGATCCAAAAGGAAGGGATGGAAATCGAGGCCGCGGAATTTATGGGAAAGGAAACCAAGGTGATGATGAGCCTTATCCAGAGATTCCAAATGGAAGAGGAGGAAATCGGGATCGGGGAATCTATGGAAATAGAAACCATGGTGAACGAGATCCCACGGATAGACGACAGCCAAATAATTGGGTAACCACTAAAGATTGGTCGGTTTACAAACGGAGACCAAGTCACGAAAATAGGAATGGAGCCCGAACCAATAGTCCAACAACAACTTACGATTACCTCACAACTTATTATCATGATGAATGGGATCCTGAATATATAACACAGGGTTTGGAAAAGGAAGTGCCCTTTGACGATCATTTTGTCGATGATTCTAAAGATCAACCTGGAGAAGATATTTTAAATCCAATGCCCGACGAAGATTATGAAGAATATATGGATCATGGTGATGACGAAGGAAAATCGGCAGTTGGCCTAGAAAATCCATCTATCGATTTTCCTTCGGCAGACCACCAGCCAAGTGATGATTCTGAAAAGAGGGAAGAGCCCAAGACCGACGACTCTCCGAATATATATATAGTTCCTAGGACTCAGTCAGGAAATCGTGAGTATCGGCCTAGTATATAAAACACTTATTCATTAAATAATGATTCTCGAAAAGGTAGTGCGAATGGAAATCTAGAAATATTAAATCCTATTGAAAATAGTCAAAAGGTTAATAATTTCAACAATAGAATCCCCAGCTTAATTGACGATGAAATTAAAGGATCAACCAGAGGCGAGCACTTAAAAGGAAATCCGGATGTCAAAAACATACCCCAATGGGAAGAGTTGAGCGAAGATCAAATAAAGATATTATTGGGCCGAAGGACATCAAAGGATTTGGAGGATTATCGAACAATTAAGAATCGCTGGGTTGAACCATTAATTACAAGAGAGCCCTATAAACCAATAAACCTTCCAGAGAACGAAAAGCTTGTAATAAATGTCAGCTCGAACGTATTGATATGAGCTTTTAAAGCCGATAGACAATATATGAATTATTCTCCCTCGTAAATTTAATCCGATTTGCCGATTGTCATCAGGGTCATTAGGCATTTAATTGCACTCATTAAAGAGAGCAACACATCTTATTCAACCGCATGTGCGACAGGTGACAAACAAATTAATGTCTCAGAGATTTATGGGCCGCCCACAAAATGGGGTAAACAAGAGTCGGCCGAAAAGTCAGGCCAAAACAACCTGTTCAATGAACTCTGCCAAAGGAAAAAAATCAGAAAAACCGTTTAACAAATTACGGCCAACACACGTGCAGTCACCATAAAAACGTACCGTACTCCGGTCTACAAAGAGATACTCCGAGATACACCCAGCGTACAGTAGTAACACCACGCATGTACCTCACATATGTATATGTACTGGCATGCATGAATGCCGGCCTTATATCGCTTATCTGTTGGGCAGCCAGCCACTCCGCCTACTTTTGTCCAATGGAGTTTCCATACCCCGGCTAACCTTGGTGGGGTCATGGCGACTTTCGGGGAACCTCTGTCCAAGAAAGGTATCTCGAGTTGTTTAGGTTGTTTGGCCGAGGAAAGTAGAATAACCTTATATCTTTATAGAGACCTAGCTTATTAACTTTTATAAATTATATACGTGCTTGTAAAAGTCACTCTTTCATTATAATCATTCATTGAACAACGCACTTAGATTACGGGTATTTTTGTTTAGGCCTTTGTCTTGATAAATTGCTCTTCTATTCAAAAATTTAACTTAAAATAAGTAGCCTGAAGTATACACATTAAAACCTGCTTTATTTGTAATTATTTTTGTCTCACTTTATGTATTAAATTTATAGTAAATTGTAACTTACATACCTCTTACCTGTTTCCCATTCGTTAGGGGATTTCACATTCGGTTAGCTTTTATTCCCAGAAATGTATTCTTTTTGTCTTGGACTGGGTTTTTTGTGCATTTCGGCAAATCATGGCAAGAACGCAAAGCACGACCACGACACACAGAGAGCCAGAGCCACAAGTTCTGTGGATGTAGCTGCTGGTGTTGATGTCAGTGCCAGTCTACAGTTCCCCAGTCCCCAGTCCTCGGGTCTCTGTCCCCAGACCCCGAACACCAAATCCCAATCCCCTTTCCCCGATGCCAATCCCGTTGGCATTCCCACTCCCGCTCGCAGTCCGAATCGCCCCCCTTTTTGCCCAGTTTTGAGGCACAGTCACTCATGACGGCGACCTGAACCAGATACACGATGCACGATAATATAATTTATGGCCCTGTTTGGTGTTTGCAGCTCCTCGCTCACTTCTCCACTGCGTTATGGAATGTTTGATGTGCCATGCCAGTGCCTCCGTCCTCATTCGTTCTCGTCCAACTCAACTGCTCTGCTCGGACTCATCAACAAATCGTACATTTGAATACAAATTGCAGCATTAAAGACGCAGAAGCTTCAACAAAAGTGTCAAATTTGACATGAAATTATTTATGCTCGCACGGAACTTTAACTCGTGTTTTTAGTGCTGCTTTGTTGGCTGTTATGCTGGCTTTTGAGTGCGCCGTGTTCCCAATTAGGTTCATCGAGCCGGAGGGCCTGAAACCCCAGACTTGCCAAAACAATTTTGAAACGCTTTTTTTGCTTGGTAATATCTTTTTTTATATATTTTTGCATATTTAATTTCTTTCTTTTCTCTTCCCACAGTAGACAATATTTCTTTCGGTTTTTTTGTGAGCTCTAGCTTTTGGTTTTACTCTAGTAAATGTTTCTATTTAATCGTAGTAACTGCAACATTAAGAAACTGTGTTCGTTAGTTTTTGTTTATTGTGTTTTTGCTAAGGGTGGTTTTTTGTGTTGGAAATTGAAGCGGAATCGTTTGAAGGCAAAGGAAATATGGAAAAAAAATAATGAATTTAAGGTTCTTATAATTTTATAAATTATTTCGATTTGGTAAGAGTTTAAACTTATGTGACAACTCGATCTTAATGTTCGCTGCCAGAAGGATCTGTTTTTGAAATCAGCTCAAAGTTCTCTTGAAACTCTTTAGATTAATCTTTTTCTGGCCAAATCCTTAACTAACACTTAAAAGGGATGATGAAAAATCCTTTCAGCAATGCACGTTTCCCTTTTCCCGTGGGGATTCCCCAGCTGCAGTTCATTTCTGCTGACCTAATCTCGACCGGCCGCATCCAAGTCACGTACATAATTTCAAAACAAAACCAAATCCGAAACCCCAGATGGCTTCTGATATTTGCTATGGCTAAGTACGAGTATCTGAGGGATTGGGCTTCGTGCACTGCCAGCCAGGTCAACAATGGGACCGAAAATCGAGGAACTTTAGTCTTGGGCGTTTGGCGGAACTGAAAAACTGATAAGGAAATAAAAACGATAATTTCAATTTAGTTTGCAATGTGTGTTCATTGGAGTTTTATATTTTTTGTTTTTTCTTTCACTCTCACTTAGATTAAGGCTTAATCGATAGACAATTCGGTTTTATACATAGTACAATAAATAATACTCAGTCTTGCATAATACAATAATATATAACAGATAACTAAAAACGAAACTAAATTTTGCTTACGGGTTGAGAGAGATATATGTTTTTGCGATGGGGGGAGGCAAACAACATTAGCAGACGATGCAACTATTTACAAGTGACTAAGCAATTGGGCTGCTACTCCCCAAACCCTGCAATCCCGAGCCCCTGACCCCTTAACAGATGACCCCTGACCCCTGGCTGGGCAATCACGCGGCAACAACGACGACCAATGAGGCGCAATCATCGTCGGCAGCCGCCGCCGGCAGTAAACTTTGTGCCACTGCAACTGCCACTGCGGAATTATCCTGCTCCTCATCCTGCTGCTGCTGCTGCTTCTCATCCTGCCGCCCATTTGGCATGTTAATGCAAATGGCAGGCGTTGCTGCGGCCAAGTTGCACGATGTGAAGGATGAGGACGAGGACGACGACGACGACAACGATGGCGAGGACGAGGATTCGGCTTTATCCTCCTCCACTGCCGCTGACAGCTTGCACTTTTGCAGCTTATTCAGCGACGACTGCTCCTGCCGCTCCTGCCGCTCGTCCTTCTCCCAATTGGAAACGCAGGCCGCGGCAGCCGGATGATGATGATGATGATGATGCACGGCTGCCAGCGAGGGATACACGAACTTCATGCCGCAGGCAAAGTGCCTCGGCTGGTGATGCAGTGCCTCATCGTAGCTGGGCAATCCGGTGGCGATTGTGTAGCAGGGCGGCGATTCGATTTGGTAGAAGCCCGCCTCGTTGCCACGATGATGCTGGCCCTGCTGCATCTGTTGGTGCAACAGCAGTCGGCTGGCATCGCAGCCAACCAGGTGCGAGGAGTACGAATCACTGGCGGCGTGGATCTGGGCACGTATGTCCTTATCTGCAATAAACAGAGAACGGAGTTTGTTAGTTGAGTTTGTCAGCACAAAGTTTCTATTGTTTAGGTGCACGGGGAAAAACTGGGGGAGCTTTAGAGCAAAATTAATGAAGACAAATAAATCAAAAAGATATGAATTCCTAAAAAGATCATCCACTAACATATAAATATTGAAACATTTTCTTTCGCCTCACTTAAAAATACCTAGAAGTTCTAAAATTTTTGTATTTTGATTTTCTGTATAACTATAGTTTCTCTCAGTGCACGAAAATTGGAGTGGGCGCATCCCAATCAGGCATCAAAGTTTCGACTCTGTCATTACTTTGTTTGTCCATGTCAAAGGACATTTGTAGGAGGACGGTCCGCTGGCATTAAATTCAATTTAGCGTAAAGGCGCAAACGCTTGAACTTTTCCGAATGCAGAAGTAACAACAACAAAACCAACAAAAAAAATTTGCAAAAAGTGGACGAAAAAAAGGAGCGAAGCGGAAAGTTTTGTGCTGACCGGAAATGCCGGCGAGGATGGCAGGACAGGCGAAGTTCCTTCACAGCGGACTGACGTCCACCCAAACAACAACAACTACGTAAACAACAACAACAAAAACAACAGCAACTAGGCAATAATATGCCGGAAGTGCGCGCGTGGCAAAATGGAATGAAATAAAATACTCTCTCTCTCGCTCTCTCTGTCTCTCTCTTACACACACACTCGCAGGCTGCCAACTGCAATTTTTTTTTTTTTTTTTTTTTTTTTTTTTTCTTTATTTATTTATTTAGTGCAGAATCTGTACAGCAAATTAAAGTACTTAACAACACAGGTGTCACCAATGAGAAAAGTAAACCAAACCTCAGCATTAAGAAGAGGATTATATATAGTATTTTCTTATTGATTCCTTATCGTCTTGGCAAAGCCTTGCCTTTTGAGACGCCTCAAAGGTCTCGCTGGGAGTAGATTCCTAGCCAGTAAGCTGCGGTGTCTTTCTAATCTATCTCGGTATCGGCTTGTGTGTCTCCCAATCTGTTCTTCCACAGTGTGTAGATTTAGGTCTCTGTGAAGTGTCGTGCCACGCACATACCAGGGACAGTCAGTAATGGTACGTAGAAACCGATTCTGCAACACTTGTAACCTTTTGTAGTTCGATTTGGCTGCGATCCCCCAAATTTGAATACCATAAAGCCAGATTGGCAGGATACAGAATGCATATACTGCCCTCTTGCATCTCAGCGGCAAAGTGCTCCTTCTGTGTGTAAGCCAACGCAGTTGCTGAATCCTTTGGTTACATTTTTTGACTGTTGCTTTCAGATGTGGTCCGAACGTAAGGCGCTTATCCAGTGTGATACCAAGATATTTTGCTTGCGACGGCTGTTCCAAACTGACTCCCTCTAGCTGGATTTCAGGGGTGTTAGATACAAGTCTCTTCAGTGTAAAGCAGGGGTTCGTAGTTTTTTGCGGATTGATTCTCATATTCCAACGTTTACACCAAGCAGAAAGATCCTTAAGGTATTCTTGTATTCCATTTGCTGCTTCCCTCCGACATCTGGAATTGTAGATGACTGCAATGTCATCTGCATATGTAGCAATCAAAGCTTTGGAAGGATCTATCATGTGATGTCTGTTTGGGCTTGGTATATCCACTGTATATAAAGAGTAAAGCAGCGGCCCAAGCACACTGCCCTGAGGTACTCCTGCTCTCATTCTATAGTTATCAGAGTATCTGTCCCTAACTCTGACCTTGAACTCCCGTTCTTCTAGGTAGGATCTCAGAAGACCATAGTAGGGGGCAGGTAGGAGGTTTTTGATTTTAAGCAAAAGTCCAACATGCCACACCTTATCGAAGGCTTGCTGCATATCAATGAAAACTGCGTTGGAATACTCTTTGTCATCAAAGGCCTGCAAAATATGTTTCACCAATCTATGCACTTGTTCCACAGTGCCGTGTCCTCTTCGAAAACCAAATTGGTGGTCTGGCAAGATATTGTCTCGATTCATGATAACTGCTATTCGATTGGCAATGAGTCTCTCCCACAACTTGGACAGGGACGATAAGAGGCTTATCGGACGGTAAGACTCAGGATCAGCCTCTGGCTTACCTGGCTTGTGGATCATCTGAATTGCTGCTAATTTCCATTGCTTTGGGAACACTTGAGTCCTAATAATAGCATTAAATATTAAAGCTATAAATAGAATCGCTTTTATGGGCAAGGCCTTCAACGTTACGTTGCAAATTCTATCAATTCCTGGAGCCTTATTTTTCGGTAAGGACTGGATAACTTCAGATATTTCTTCAATCCTTATAGGCTTTATTGGCAACGACATCTGCAGAGGCGTCTCCAGAGTTTGATGGGTCTCGCTAACCTGAACTGTCGATGCAAAGCTATACGGAGTGAAGCGTTCTTCTAGATGTAGACCGAAAGCATTGGCCTGCTCCACTTCATTTTTTGCGAGCTCACCACTGGGACACCGAACAGGAACCTGTCTAAGGGGCTGGCGCTTAAGCGATTTTGTACATTTCCACAGTGAATAATTTGCATCCACCGTGTAGTCCATGGAAGACAATTTATGCTCAAAAAAATCGCTTCGAAGTCTCCTTAAAAGGGTTCGAAGTTGCATTGCAGCTCTGTACCACAAAATACGGTCTTCAGGATCTTGAGAACGAATTGCTCTTCTTCGAAGGCGCCTTTTTGTTACAATTAGCGCCTTGGCTTCCTTGTGAGAACAACACCATAATTGATAGGACGATAATCCGGTTCCAAAGGCGTCGAAGCAGAAGCAGCCATATAAATATTATTAGTTAGAGTGCCAACTGCAATGAAATAAAAGCTCGACAGCCCCGGAAAGTAGGCAGCAGAAAGCATTTAATTTTTATAATGCCGCGGCGACTGTTCAGTGTGTGTGTGTGTGCTAGTGTGTGTTTCAAATTAAGCTGAGTTAAATTAAGATTGGAAAATACCAATTTCCATGCACACGGACTCTAAGCCGAGGCCATCAAAGAATTTAATTTGGTTTCGTTTTGAGTTACAGCTCTGATTAAAAATGCATGTAGCCCCAATAATTTGCCTCAAATAGAATTTCCTCTTTTGCATATGTTGGAGCGAAAAAAGGCAGGTATTCAGTGTTATTAAATGCAATTTAAACTGTATTCAATAAATAAATAGGAGATCGTCCCCGGACGGTTTTTTGTGCGAATTAATTTCGATGGCGCTGGCTGGTTGGCTGGTTGCAAAAAAAAACTCGACTCTTTTTTAATTGTTCGGGCTTTACTTTTCATAAATTCTGTGGGCCCGAAAATGTTTTTTTCAATTAAAGCGAATCGCAGGCAGGAAGGAAAGGTGGTCGCCGTTTGCGGTAGGGGGTAAAGCCTGTTGAAAAATTTGCGCATTACAATATTAAAACGCAGCGGTAGCAGAACCAGTCAGCAGTTACACTGCCTGCCAGCAGTTGTTGATTTATTGTTATAACTGTAGCACATATATATCCTTTTTTTCGGCCAGCCAGGACACCCCACATGAGGACTCTGTCTCTGTGTTCTCTCTCCTTTCTGACTTTTGTTTCCGTTTTTTCTTGTTCCCCTTTTGATAGACAGCCGGCAAACGGGGCGTTGAACGGGCAAAGGGGGCGTGGCCCACTCATACACAGGCTGCAGGTTTCATATTTTATGCAAGTGTTGAGCAAACAGCCGCCCCTGGAAAATGTTAACCCCGCAGCCTCTCAACTTTTTCAAGTATTGCAGATGGACGCAAAGAAAGTCGGAAAATCGGGGAAAGGTGGCTGCTGCACGCAGAAAAACTTCAGTTTTTCAGCATAACTAGTTTTTCAAAAATTAAATAAATTCTGTTGTTAAATTTCATAATTTATTCCACAAAGAAAAGTGTTTTGCTAAAAAGGTCAAATTTAAATATCAGGTGCAGGCAACCAATATTGTTAAAACTCCAAAGTACTTCTCTCTGTGTTGTTTTAAAAAAAATTAGCACGCCATTCGTTGGGGCCTTTTGTTTTTCAGCTACATTGGCACTTTGCCTTCCATTTTGCTTTTTGCATTTGGAGCCTGTCCTGTTTTTCCCCATTTCTGTTGCCGATGCGCCCAAATGTATGCAACAATTTAAATTCATCGCAATAAGCTGGCACTCTCGAATGAAAACTGGCAAATGGAAAACACTGAGCTGTTTTATTTTGTGTTTCCATAAATGTCTGTTAATTTTTTAAACGCCAGATCCTTTTCGGCCTTATTCGGCCTGAGTAGAGTTTTATTTAAAAATTATTATCATCGGATTTAAGCCGCTTTCAAGTGTTATTATGTCGGCTATTGAAATGGGAACTCGGTTTTCGTTTGGTTTTTAATTTTACGCCAAAATAAAAGATGCAGCGTCAGCCATTAAAAGTTTTGCCTTTGCAAGCTCTATTATGCATGCCCTTTCCATACAACTAAACAATGGTCGGCTACAAAACAATTTGGTTAATTACAAGACTCAATTTGGGTTTGCCAAAACGAAAAAAAACCAACATATTTCCCACTGCCAAAATAGAGAGCAACTTCTAGTTTTTCTGCGCTACTCGCAGAGCAAACCCATTAAAAATTTAAAAGGGCCGCCAGCTAAGAGTAACTTTTTCTGGTCTTGGCCAAATATGCTACGCTTAATTACATTTTTACGCAAGTGAATTATGCAGGACCTATACAACATGATAAACAGTGGCTGTTTGGTTGTTTGGCTGCTTGGCTTTAATTTAGTGGCTCCTTCCGGTCTGTTAATAAATTCAGCCGTACGCTGCACTAATTGATAACAAGCCAAAGCCAGGACCAAAACTTTGCCATTGCCTCCTGTGTGTGACAGTTTAATAAATAAGGTGTAAGCCCGGTTGGCTGGGTGGCTGACTGGCTGACTGGCTGGCAACTGGGCCAGACACTCTTGTGTTTGGGGCTCGTTAAGTATTTATAAGGTAAACACTGCGAGACGCCACGTAGCTGGCATTAAATGCACAAAAGCCGTAGTGAACTCGGGCCTAGTTGCTTAATTATAAATGACACACGTACTCCTCGAATCTCCGTATCCCGGGTAACCTATCCCACCGCCCAGACCACTTGGTATCTATCTAGGCCAAATCCGCACAGGAGGGAGCGTAAGACTAGTGCCACAAAAAAAAAAACTAGAACAACAAAAAAAACAGAACACGACACTAACGAAACTAATTAGACGCATTGGACGCCCGAAAGCAGGCAACACATATCGCTCAAATTGATATTTCACGTATATAGTTAGCATGGTGCTTTCGGGGGATCGGGTGGAGGATTCAGATACACCCTTCTCGGTCGCGTGGCGTAATCGCAGGGCAAAGTTTTTAAGGCTCGTTAGCACAAAATTGACAGTTTGACAGTTGAGTTGGCCAGGCTTTAAGGCCACGGCCCTTTGGCCCAAGAACTTCTGCTCCCAGGAACAGGACGAAAGTTTGCTCGGCCCAGTCCTTCAGCCAGAGTTAGCAACCACTGGCTGCCTTGCCTCCTGGCCTGGCCTAAATAAATCATTTGGCTAAATTGGTCTGCAAAAAGTTTGACACTTGAGCCGGAGTCTTGTTAGTTGTGTAGGTTATTTAGCCTGCCCCTACGTTCAATTCCGTTCCGTTTGCTTCTATTCGGTTTAGTGCAGCTCGGTTCGGTTGAGTTGGGTTAAGTTCTTTGTTGTGGCTCCGTAATTATGTGTAAAGTGCCTAAACATATGATTTATTTTTGGGACTTGGTGCGGAGGTGCAACAGGTCTGCCAGCAGATAAGATATATATTTACATGGGCTCTATTTACGCCGAATTGGGTTGAGTGGCGGTAATCTGGGGGTTTAGGTGGGATTTCGATAACGATTCTGTCAGAATTGATTGATTTTGGATTATATGTGTGCGATGGCTAGAGCTGTACTAAAATTAGAAATTCCATTTTACTAAACTCTTTGATATTTACAATCTCCCTTCTCAGTATTTATATACGAGATTTCCCTTGACTTCCGCCACACAGCTGAATGATATGGTCCATCATTGTTTTATTATATTACTCTTTATCGCCTCGGCCCACAAAAAATATATAAATATCAACGCACAATTTCACGCCTTTCGCCTGCAGAGCAACAAATTTCGGGGCAACAATTTTACTTTTTTTTTCGAGAGGAGGAGAGAGAGTGGAGGGGTCGTCGAGGTCGGCCATATTCTCCTCCAGCTCGTACATTATCGCTATCATAAAAGGGGCACAATGCCTCGGGCGGAGGCGAGTCAATTTAATATTATAAATATGCGGCGCGTATATTTTGTGGCATAATAAACTTGTGTATCTAAAATTACAACAGAACGATGCAAACGCAAACGGCTGGCTGACAATTTCGAAGCGCGCCAAAAAATTTATGAGGCTTTGCCGACCATAGAGCTCTATAGCTCCATATACCATAGCATCCTATAGCTACCAACTGATGGGTGGGACCTGTTTCAGTTCCAGTTTCTGTTTCTGCATTTTATATTGTTTAGCCAGCTGAATAAATGGCCGGAGATAAGGCTTTGGCGAAACATTTTGATTAAAGTCGGGGACATAAAAGCCAGATGTATGGCATTTTTGTTCGGGTTTCGGGGGCGGAAAATGAGTGGGGCTTTATATGACTGAAACTTACTGCATTTTTTCCAAGTGCGGAACTTCCGGTAGAAGTAGCAGCTGAAGAGGATGAAGACTAGCGAGAGGACGACCAGCGAGCTGACCACTCCGATCCACAGATAGTTGATAATCACATGCATGTCGGCATCCCCGAAGATCTGGCTCCACCAGGAAGAATCCGTGGAGTCCTCCGAACGGTCCCTCAAATCAGCCAGATCCAGAACCACCGATTTGGAGAGCTGTTCGGTGCTGATGCTCCCATCCGGGGACCAACCACTGGGTGGAGCCGGGTCATAGGACACGGCCGCATTGCCGATCCTTTGGAGCAGGGCATTGAACGAATTCAGGGCATCGATGTGCCGCAGATCGTGGGCACTGGGAATCTCGAAGGTGATCTGATTCTGCTGCAGGTGCTCGGCAATCGCAGCGGGACTCATGCTGCTCGCCGGTGCGGAAATGTACTCCGCATACAGCTCCTCGCTGGAAGTTGTGGTCTCCACAACCGATGGATAATCCGTGGTGCTAATCATGGTGATTTATATTTGAATTTATGATTTTCTGGGGTTTTCGGAAAAACTTTTGTTTTGGTCTGGCACACGCACACAACGGCTGGCACTCGCGTCACGACACGTAAACAAATCGTATGGCTCTATATATAAGTCATGGGTTCGATTTCGGGTTTTTTTTTGTTTTGCTAGAGTTTCGATAGCTCGATTTTCGGTGCGTCCGTTCGCTGGAGCGGCTATAAGTTGACTGACTGCTCGCTGGCGGAGTGTAATGCCTACATTGGGTCGCTGAGAATCCCGTGCTGCTGGGAAATTTGTACTCCACTCGCACTCACTCACTCATTCATTCGTTCAACCATTCAACCAAACACTCTTGAGTGAGTTGAATCGTGGGCGAGGCACTCAAGAAATCAAGTCAAGTCCTTGGTTAAAGAAGCATGCAATTTCTGGCATGTCTTTTATGTTTTTAAATGTTTGGCGTCCTTTTTCCTTTTGCCTCTTTCAAGCTGACCCAGTTTGACCAAAAAACCATATATATTCTGGGCAGAAAAAAGCGCTACTAAGAAGGGAAAACTTCACCTCGGTCACGTTCGTTGTTTAAAGTTTTTCCCAACGCTTTTCAGTCTGGTGTTTTTCCAGCAAATTGCTTTGCGGGAAAGTTTCAGTCTCTGCTGATTTTAAAGGAATGGCCAAAGGACATCCAATGACATTTGTTCTAGTAATTTTCACCAAAACAAACGAAGAATTATGATCCGCAAAATGTTTTGCTGGGACATCGAAAATTTGTGCAAATTTCACAGGCTCACACATGTTTCCCTTAGCTTTTGGCCATTTTAAACTAACCTAGTTGACCGCTTTAAATGGCCCAGAGCAAAAACTGTAACTAGAACTCAAAATCTCGACCATTATGTGTCCCTCGAGCGTCAGGATACCGCAATGCTTCCTGCTGCCAGTTGCTGTTGCTTCTAAAAAGACCCACAAAAAAAAGTATGGAAGCAAAAATAAAAGGATGGAGATTCGACCCACAGCACGCTTCATTTCTGCTCATGTTGACCATAAGCCGGCAAAAACTCAATGCACAAAAGGCTCCGGCGACACAAAAACGTGCCAAAAATATCCTGCTCAGAAAGTGGAACAAATGCACTGCTCCCAAACTCACTCCAATACCTTTTCGAAAAACCACTCGAAAACCGGTTTTCCTCCGCGAGAGTCGAACTCAAAGGGAAATTTTCTCGCTCTCAATTTTCTTCTCAGCTTGTGCGCACTCGCTCTCTTGGTTTCCCTCGCTCTCCCGCTCTTTGATTTTTCTCTGGCGAGTGGATTTTCCCATTTCCCTGGCAGAGAAGCCAAGTGAAAATGAGCAATCCACGGCAGTTGCCTTTGAACTGCCCTGGGTGAAAGGTCACACGGTGTGTGGGTGTTTGCCACAACTAGAAATGCCAGGGGTCAGGCGGCTGGAAAATACGTAACTCGCAGACAACTAAAACGTTGTTTCGACTGCCCTGTAATTGCCGGGGGAAATTGAAATAGATGCCCGATAATAAGCACTTAGCTCGAGACCAAAGTCACTCGATAAATGCATTAAAAACTTTTGCGAGCCGCCGAAAACTTCTGCACTGCACTTTGGCAAGCCGAGCTTATCGTTAATTAGCTTTCGGCTAATTCTGAACTTGAGCATATGTTTTAACTGCAGCGATTTTAATCAATGCGTGTTTGTGGGTGCAGTTAAGATAGTTTCGCAGTAAAGAAACTTTGCAGAAGTTTGGGTTAATAAATATCGACAGAATAATTAGAACCGTTTATCGTTTAAAGCATCAAGTCTATGAAGTAATTTAAAAATATGTTAGTCCTTCTTTAATGTAGGGAAAATTTATAAAGATTTCTAAAACAAACTACACAGTACTTATTAATGGGAAAGTTAGAAGTTATACTAGTACTATTACTATTTATTTGAGCACCTTTAAGGGAAAGATTTATCGAAAATGAAAAAGGGAGTTCTCAATATTTTTTATCTTAAAAAGGAACCAGGAAAGAACTAACTTCCTGAAGCTCTCGAAATAATTCAATTGTGTTCTTTTGTAAAACACCACAAAAAACGTCATCACACAATTTGATTTGTTAAAATTCCTCCTTGAGCTTTCAATAACATTTGTTCGCATTTCTTCGTTTGTAATCCAATTTTGATGGCAATGCAAATTAAATTCACATCACTTGACTTGTCGCATTCAATCTGCTCAGATGGAAAACCAACCCCGAACCGCTTTTCCCAACAAAAGTAGAGTTTGATAAACAAGTTTACACCTCTTTCGTTTGTGTGCAGCCAAGGATGAAAACCTCACAGACAGGCGAGATTTTAATATGAATCCTTAGAAAATATTCTGCCTTCTTCGAGGAAGGACACACATGCACACGCATGCAGATGCTCCGTGACACCCAACTAAAAGTAAATTCATTAAAAATTCCATCATAAAAATACCTCGGCTGACGTGAGCGCCCCAAAAAAAGAAGGAGGAAAAACTTGTATTCTTTTTACTAACTAACTAAAAGTAAACCATAAAACAGGCAAGCTGAAGGGGGAGGGGAAGGGAGGGGGTTGGGGTATCGTGGTTCGGGGTCGGAGTCCTAAAGACGGAAGGAAGGATGTGGCATATATCTCTCGGTTCTGTGCTTTGTGCAGGACTCGCTTCGCTTCCATCTTATCTTGCAGCTTCCATCACACTTCACTTACATGCTCTTTAACATGTCAACATGTCAGTCCCGTACGTGTATTTGTGTCCCTGCATTGGTGTGGGTGGCCGTGTGGGTGTGTGACATAGTGACATAATAAAATGTTACTTTAGTTAGTAGTTTAGACGTTGCGAACCCCGCAAAAAGATCCTTTCCTCGGCACTAACTGCGGGACTCAGCAACTTTTCGCCTTAATATTTTTCTAAGGGTTTCCAAAGTGCTGAATAAAGTGCAGTTTCTGTGGGGGATATGGTTTTAACTTCCTGAACTGAAACATATTTTTTGTACTAAAAAAATTAAATAAAATAAGTTAAAATTTACTATTTAGATTAATGTACTTTAAAAAGTAAATTTTGTGTACAATTATCTAAATGCTATTAATCGTTCATTTATAAAAACAAAATATAAAAATAAAAACTTAATAATTAAAATCCTCTAATATTGTATCAAGATAAATTAAGATGTCACCCTATCAGCAGAACCTTATGTTCTGTAAGTAAACAACCCCTTTCAATCTGAATGGGTTCCACCTTGGTTTATTCATTCAGATGCTGATTATGCAGCAGCCGGTGAATAAGCATCGAGATCTCAGTTCCCTTTCATTATTCAAATCGATTCACATCCCAAAGCAGGCCACACATAACATGCAAAAGTGATTTCCATTCGCCATGTCCGCATGCCATCAATGGCAAATTATGCATTTAATGGCCAGATGCAATTAGCATCTCCTTCCGAAGGAGTGAGAGGGGGGTGGGGTCCTTTAAGGCCCCCTTCCACTTTCAATCCTGCCCATACCAAACGCAATCGTCTGCGTGTCCGGCATAATTGCCCAAGATTAACATAAATCAATCAAAAGGCATAAAGCACCTTTGTACCTTTGGAACTCCGCTGTTGTTGCTGCAATTGCATATGGAAAATGCCTGTGAAATTGCGCAGAAAGTTTTGCGCGCTGCCAAAGGACCCGTCACAAAGGATATATGTGCAAAGAAGCAAAGAAGTGAAAGAAATGCAAACAATGCGGCTGAAGGAGCGGGGGAACTCAGTGCTAAGCCGTCCGGGTAAACAAATACAATTGCATAAGTCCTGTCGCCGTTGTTGTTGTTTTTCTTGTTCTTCCTTCTGTTATTTGTGTATTGTAGTGTGCACTAAAAAAAAAAATAATTAATTTGAACTGAGGTGAGTAATTAGTTGCAACTAGTTGGGTTCATAAAAACTATCTTTTGCGGAAATTAGTCAAATATATTTTATAAGGTTCGCAATATTTTTCAAAGGTTTGAAAAATAACTTAAAATAATAAAGAAGTAAATATAGATTGATTTTAAATAGATTTTTATTTAGTGCAATATTTTGAACAATAAAAAACTAAAGGTAGATGCATTTGGATAGCTTTAAATAGTGAGTAGTATCTTATTCCAGTTTGTGTTTTTGGTTTAGGCCTTAGAAAACATATATTATGCCATATTCATATATTTCTTTATCTGTAACTTCAAGATTCGGTCTTCATAAGTGTGTTTGTGAGTCTGTTTATCATATGTGCGCTTGATTAGCGCTGACAACATATGCAGGCATTGCAGACATCAGGCCACAGGACCACAAAAAGGACTGCCAACAGGACTCTGTTGACAAACAAAACAAACAAGTGCACATTTTTGTGCCGAGCTGCATATTTTCGTTTTTGGCTCAACAACAACAACAACATTAAAGAAAACAAATATAGAGGCCTTTTCCCCAGGCTCCCCAATTCCCTTCGGTATCCTGCTGCAACTCCTGCATCCTGTAGCTAAACAAAAGGGTCCTGCATCACGGAGCAGTTTTAAAAGGATTTGCAGTTGAAATATGCTCCGGGGCACGGCTGCTGTAGTTTATGCAAACAGTAGAGAAGACGCCACATAAATGAACACTGGTGATTTTTTTGGCAAGGATTTTGCCAGAGTATCTAAACAAACGACAGAGGAATTCAACTGGAAACTTAATGTATAGTTGCAATGTGTAGTCAAGGGAGAGAAGATTTGGCTGGCGATTAGTCACCAAAGGTGTTGATATATGGTTGTCACTGACGAAAACGTGCTGAACGAAATAAAAAAATAAATTTAGTTTCTAAAGGAGTATTTCATGAAGTAGATAAGTTTTTAAAGACATTCCAAAAATTCTTGAAGCAATTCTCACAATAATAATTTATTAAAATATATTTTTTTATATTCGAAATAGTATGTGAGTATGCTGAATTCCATACAGAAATTCAAGAGATTTTCTCACAAACTCCACATAAATAAAAAGCTAGTTTTAAGTTTTGTAGTGGCTTTTCCATTCATCATGTTTATGGCAGCGCAACATTTTTGAAAACCCGTCAAGGACTCTTTCTGCTCCTTTTACTGTACAGTCTTTGCTTAGAGTTTTCCAACCCAATTATCTAATTAATCTATTTCAAGAGCATTCCCTGCCATTTCGACCTACATTAATTTCCTATTCATTGTTCGGGCGGAGAAGTGGGCGGTGCTGCAGCACCAGTCGAAAAAGTGTTTGTGGCAGCATCAGCTGTT